CTTCCAAGGGAAGTGGTGCTGGCCCCTACCCTGGGGGTCTTTAAGAAGAGGCTGGATGCCCACCTAGCTGGACTCGTTTGAGTCCCATTTCTCTTTTTGGGGTTTTTGTTGTTCTCCCGCCCTGGCGGGGGGTCGGGCTAGAAGATCTACTAGGTCCCTTCCGACCCTTAATCTATGAATCTATGAATCTATGAATAATTCATGGTCAAGCTCTTCCTCCTGGTTAGGAGGTCTGTAATAGACTCCTACAGTTATATCCCCTTCACTACATTCTCCCTGTATTCTAACCCAGAGGGTCTCAAGTCACCCCCCTTGGGTGCCAATCTCGGTTCTCTTCAGGGTCGTCCCGGGGGGGAGGGGGTGAATCAGGGTGACTGCACCGGGCCCTGCACTTTGAGGGGCCCCACTGAGCTGGGCAGAGTGGCTGTGGCGACTCTGCACCACCGCTGCCAGCTTTGCGTCCCGCAACTTCTTTGGTCTGGGGCACGTGGCATTGGAGTAGGGGCAGGGCCCTGCATGGGCTGATTTGCCTTGGGCCCCGCACCCTGCTTGGGTGGGCTCTGGTTCTCATTGATATATTACATTCTTTGTACTGGGTCCTTATTGTACAAGACCAATCCTTTAGTTTCAGTTTCTCCTTCTTAGTTGATCCTGTCAGAGTAAAGTAATGCTAAATGTGCTACGTTGCTGATACTTTCCATGAAAGTACAAGCAATGAATAAATTAATTTTGTAGCATGATAATATCACAGTTCCTTTCTGCATTTTGCTATTATGCTGGAATATTGAAACAACAATATGAGCTTTCATATACAGCTTTTTGTTTTAACTTTGTAAAGGTTAAGCTGGCTGTGCTTTCTCTACTGTGGTCTAGAGTTTAGAACAGAGTTAGGGTAATCAGATTCTATTTCTTGCTTTTCCATAGGCTTTCTTGTCACTAAAACCATCCATGCGTCAGTTTGTAAAGTGGTTAAGGGGATTCAGCTGCATTTCATGTCTCGTCTCCACAAGGTAGATAAGCTAATTAACCTCTTATGTAATTCTTTGAGATTTTTGGGTTGAAAGCACTGTGCTCTGCAAAAAATGTATCTGGTCTCCTCTGTAGAAGTGTGGCATAGCAGGGGGCTCCCAAAGTCCCTGCTTTATTCTGGAAAATGAAAATTGTCTCCTGAAAGCACTTCATGAGGAAGAAGAAGGAGGAGG